TCAGAATAAAGGAAGCCCTGCCTCTCAGGGCACCCAAATGATAAAGCCAAGGTGGAACTGGTCATCTGGACTGTCAATCATTTTGGGTATAAAGGAGGAGGTGGAGCTGCTAAAAATCAGAGAAGTTTTGGTCCTCCCCTGACTTTCTCAGTCCCGCCTATCCTAGTCCCCGCTCTCACCACCCACCTAAGGTGGGGAGAGGCCCCCAGATCCGTTGAGATGAAGAAGACTTCACCAGCAGAGGGCTGATAATATTAGATTTTTACTTAATAGAATCTTGAATGAAAAACAGAGAGTTTATTTTAAACACTTTATAATAAATGTCTGTCTCTTGACATTCCAAACCTTTTACTGAGTATCCTTTGAAAATAATAAATTTTGTGACTGGCAGGGATAATTTTTGGCCAAAAACACTCCTGACACATAATTCTCCTCATTCTCCACAAACGGAGATGGGGCACAGAGGATGCAGACGATGTGCTAGTTTGTGGTAGAGCTGGCTTTTGAGGTCACATCTGTCCATCCCCAAAGCCCATGTTTTATTACACCTCACTCATTTCCTTTCTTTAGACAGACAACCTGTGCATTCAGCAGCCTCGGGGCCTAGGACTTGTGTCTCAGCCTTGAAAAATAGGTCTTACCTAGCGCACGGGAATAATAATAATGGCTAACCTGCAAATGAAAACCTCCCAAATGCCAAATGCTATGCTAATTTTTAATGAGCATTATTTCATGTTGACAACTCTTCGACGTGGGAACTGTTATCATCTCTAGTCTATAGAGGAATCTGAAATTAAACTGCCAAGTCATACAGTTGTGATTACTAAGCAGAGACAGGACTTGAGCCACAGCAGAGTATCATGGATGGGGACCCAGGCTCCTAACCAGCACACACTGCCGCCTATGGTCATAATGTATCTACATGGTGCTGGGAAAGGCTGTTTATGGAGAAGATGGACAGGACCTGTCTCCCTGAGACTTGTCAACAGTGACTCGCTCTAACAAACATCAGTAAAAATAGTGTAGTTATCACTAATGAGCACGCCTTCTCTACCAGAGAGTACATCCCCAAAGCAGGAGAGACCATGAAAGGGAATGAGTTGGGGAAGGAAGAGCCATATGAGATATGCTAGCTACTGAACTAGCCACCATCGGGAACAACAAATTCCTCCATCTTGCAGGCCCATCCTTTACAAATGCATCTCAGGATGCTTTACCAGGAGGTGGGAAAGGAGTTGGGAAGAAGAATTTACGCCTTGACTCCTACATCCCAATGGATTAAGAGTTCATCCTGGGGTGAAGTGGGTAGAGAAAAACAACACCTCCAAGTCTCAAGGTGCCTGACGCTTCAGCTTCAACAGGGAAACTCTAGGGCTTGATGCAAGACGCTTGCACCACTGGACATAGGAGAGACATGGTCAGGTTGAGCCAGCATGCAGCTGGTCAAAATCCATATAGCGTAAATAGCCACAGCCCAATGCAAAGTGAAAATGCAGGGCTCCTTTTTCAAAAATGATAACAAATTTCAAAACGGCTCTGGCAGAGCATTCAACCAAGTGTGGAGCCCTTCAAAGCCAGGGCCCTGTCCAACTGCACTGGCCACGTAGCCATGAAGCAGGCTCTGCCACACACAGTTGATCACCACAGGGGCAACTGGGGCCAGAACAAAAAGCCCTGAAGACAGGTGGACAGGTGAGGCTGAGAGCACTTGAAGTGGCTTCTGCAATGGACTCAAGGCAAGGCTTGATGAAAGGGTGAGAGGAGACAAGCTTAGGGGATACGGTGGGGCTAGAATGTGCTGGGACTTGGAGAAATTGGTTTCCTTTATGTACACAGATCACCTACAGAAGTTAGCATCTGTGAGAGCAGCCTCTAGGTTGCATGTGTTATGTAAAAGGTTAGCAGTCCAGGTAGTAACAGTAGAGATTACCAAACAAGAACTAGATTAGCCAGGAAAGGCCTCAGGGAGGCCATTAGATGCTACTTGGGGACAGAAGAAGTGGGAGAAAGAAAGCAGGGGTCATTCCCATTAGTTCTTCCCAAGTACCAGGTAAAATCTGGTGCCCCTGACTGGTAGCAGACACCTCTGTGTCCATAGAAGTTAACAAGTAAAAGCGTTGCCTGTGTGCAATAGACAAGGTGGATGGCTCTCATTTACACCTGGGACTGGAATACCTCTAAAGTAGGAGTATTGTTTCCTACTGGAGTACTCTTTCTCCATTATCCAGCTGGGCAAGGCTCTCTTGCCCTCCCACCCCTCCTCTGCCTCCACCCACTTGGTAGCAGGCAGCAGCAACCTTATTATGTGATTGTACAAGGACTCAGCCATGGACCACTTGTTCTTTGATTTTTCATAGTCAGGCAACTTTTTATCTTTGAAGGGTTGGTTCTCATTACTCATTCTCCTATTTCCAAACTTGGATCAGCCCCTAAGATGTGATATTCAACACTATCATCCTAATAAGATTCCGAAGATCCCTCCAGCATGTGTTAGGGTCTTCTGGGCCCACCTCAAGCTGTGATATCTTTAATTCATCCCCATCATTCTTGGACGAGGTCCTAATACCCCTTCTCCACATCACAGCTCCTCTGAAGCTCGCCCTAGTCTCATGAATGGGAACTAGCTCTCTGTAGTTCAATAAAAGTAGGGCCCTCATATTCAGGGTCAGGCCTTAGCCGTTCCCAAAAGAAGACAGTCACATAGTTCTAATCCCCTCCGTCTCTATAATTCTATAATTTAGATTTAGGTTATATGCAAACTTGGAATCCTGAGGCCCAGTCAAGACCACCAGGTTGCTGCGACAAACTGGACCCTGGAATCATGAGGCAGGTGAGAGCCTTGTGGTTCCCAATCCACAGCCCTTCTAGTAGTCGGTGTGCTCTACCTGGGCACACACTCAAGTTTGTCTGGGTTTCCTGCATCACATGCCAATGCCTCTTAAAATCTGGGGCTCACCTCAGACCTTTTATAGGGGCCTCAAGTCATTTCCAGTGTTTGTGGGTCTCCTCCTTTCTGCTACCAGACCTGCCTGTCCCACTGTAATAGAATACTCACCACTAATTTCCACCAAAGCCCGTGTGGTTCTCATAAGGTCAGCCTCCGCCTGTTATCCCCACCGCTCATTGCCGCCCATCTGTTTGGCTACTTCAACAAGCCCTACTGCCAAAATTGGGTCTGAGATAGATACAGACCCTATGCCTGGACTTCCCAGCTGTCTTTTCTGGAGCCAACCTCTGTGGCTGGGCCAATTTCCCCAGCTACTACCATACCTGGCCCCAGCTTGCTCCCCCTGCTTGTAGAGCCTGTGCTGCCAAGACCCCAGCATGCCAATTTCCAAGCCCATCTAAGCACCTTTCTTCCTGGAATACTTTATTAATCATGTCCAACACCAACCACAGAAATCCAGGAGAGAGAGAATTAATGGGAGCAGGAACTCCACCAGCATCGCCAGCTGTGGATGTTATTTGGCTTCATTGATTTATTCATATTTTAAAAATATTTATTGGCCAAGCTCCCCATGCCAGACACTAGAAAACAGCAGTAAACAAGAGGGAGGGGTTCTGTCTTCATCATGCTTGGAATCTAGTAGGTAGAACAGACTTTAAACAGAGTCACACAAGGAAATACACAGCGATTACATTTGTGGTGGATGCTAGCAAAAACTGCATAACCCTGGATCGTAAAACACAGAAGGATCCATTGCTGACTAGCCCTCCATTATCCTCAACTGACATCACAAGGAGATTTAAACTGAAATTCTCCCTAATGCACAAATTCTTCGGCATTATTTCCAATCGTCCTTAACTTTGGTACAGGCATAATTTTATGATTCAAATAAAAATAAAAAGCAAACTACAACCTTCTGATTACTGCCATCAGCTCTAATAATAGCTTCGAGCTCCTTGAAAAGAGGGAGGGGGGAACAGAAGAAAACTCTCTGGATAGATAAATGCCAAGCATTGTTTGATTATTGTAGTTCACATTACAGAGGCAAGGAAAGGAGCCCGGAAGCAGAAGTCAGGCACCTTTGGGATTTCACAGGCTGGAGACCCCATGCATTTTTCTAATTTGAATAGGATAAGCCTCAGAGGCCCTTAATGCAAGATGGGTTTTGAGTGTTTCCAAGCTTCCTGAGAAAGATAAAGCCCGCCTTCTTCATCAGAATTATTCAACTGTGGTGTAACTGCTTAGCAAGGGAATGGGGAGGGCTTGCAGGACTCCTGTAGCTCCTCCTACCCACCCTGAAGACTTCTTTGTGGCTAATACTACCCTGAGCACACCCCCCTTTCTTTCTTGGCCTCTCCACATCTTATCTTCCCAAGACCGGCTCCTCATGCCTCAAACCCCACACTGCAGACAACTCCCTTTCCTCAACCCTCCTGCAGAAGCATCTCTTCTCTATTCCCTTACTCATGAATTCCAGTTTTCTCAATGAGACCTACTCCTGGTAGAGGCCAGGAAAGCAATCAATCCCAGGAAACTAATTTGAGCTATTGACATACCCCAAGGCTGTTTTGTTTTTGAAAAGGAGTGTTGCCTGAGCTGAGGTCTCAGCTTTGCCACTTATTATGTGTGAACTTAAGCAAGTCTCCTGGCCTTAGTAGCTGCAGGTTACTCATCAGTAAAACAGAGATATTAACAACCATACCATGAGGTAATATAGTCCAGTGGCTAAAAGTCTAGCTTCCCAAGTTTGAAGCCCAGCTCTGCCACTCCCTAGCTGTGAGATCTCAGGAGGATTACTAAAACTCTTCCTACCTTAATTTCCTCATCAGTAAAATGAGGATAGCAATAATATCTACTTCAGAGAGTTTTAGGAGGACTTAATGATACGTAAATATATAAAGCTCTTGGGCCAGTGCTTATGCTTTAAGCATTATACAAGGGTTTGCTATTCATAATAATGGTATTATTATTACATGCACTGAAGGATGAATGTGCTACCCAAACGTGGGAACAGATGGGACAATGCTCTTTGTACTCCAAGGGCAGTACTTACTTCAAGAGAGATCTCAGAACCTCAGTTCAGTGTATGGATGTCCTAGGAGGAAGGGAGCAAGACAACTGAAAGAAAAAAAATTGTAGTCAGAGACAGATCAGCAGAGGTCAGAGATGGAACTGACTCTACGCTTCTTGAGGGCAGGACTGTGTCTATGCTATGGTCTAATGTTTGTGCCCCCTTCCCCAAATTCATATGTTGAAATCTTAACCCCCAAGGTGATGATATTAGGAGATGGGGTTTGGGGGAGGTGATTAGGTCATGAGAGTAGAGCCCTCATGAACAGGATTAGTGTCCTCATAAGAGACCTTGCCCCTTCTACCCTGTGAGGACACAGCTAGAAGGCACCATCTACAAACCAGAAAGCAGGCCTTCACCAGACATTGAATCTGTTGGTGCCATGATCTTGGACTTGCCAGTCTCTGAAACTGTGAGAAAAAAAAAAAATTGTTGTTTGTAAGTCAACTGGTCTAGGGCAATCTATTGTAACAGCTTGAATAGACTAAGACAGTCTATTTTTACCTCTATTCAATCCACAAAGCCCAGTGTAGGGCCTGGCATATAGTTAATAGATATGGAAGGAAGGAAGGGAAAGAAGAAGAGAAAGTAACAAAGAGGAAAGGAGGGAGGAACGGGAGGGAGAGGGAGGGAGGGAGAGGAGGAGGGAGGGAGAGGAGGAGGGAAGGAGGGAGGGAGGGAGTCATCATTCATGATTTGGTGATGGGAGTGGGCAGTTGAAGAAGGCAGATCACTGGATTTGAGAAAACCAGTGAAGTAAGACAAGAAAGTACTTGTGAAAGGAAAATAAATCTTGGGGCCCAAAATCACTAAGCTAAAGGGAAAAGTTAAGCTGGAACCTGCTGGGGCAAACCTTCCTTCCATTCTATTCAAAGTCACCCTTCTGCTCACTGAGATTAATGCATAACCGATTGCCTTCTTTGGAAAAGCTAATCAGAAATTCAAGAAAATGCAACCACTTGTCTCTTATCCACCTATGACCTGGAAGCCCTCTCCCCACTTCCAGTTGTCCTGCCTTTTCCGGACCAAACCAACGTTCATCTTACATATGTTGATTGGTGTCTCCTGTCTCCCTAAAATGTATAAAGCTAAATGTGCTCTGACCACATTGGGTACATGTCGTCAGGACCTCCTGTGGCTATGTCATGGGCGCACGTCCTCAACCTTGGCAAAACAAACTTTTCAAATTAACTGAGACCTGGCTCAGATTTGGGGGGTTCACAGACTGGACAGGCCTGCCTCACAGGCATCAAAGTCATTCAAGATAATGGTAGGACTGAATCTGGCAAGGAAGCCCATGAGTCAGGAGCTTCAAGAATGTGGAGGAGGACCCAGGAGGTTGAGAAAACTCAGCCAGGAGAAGAGACAGAGGGTGGTGGAGCTGCCGAGAGGCATGAGCCTCAGAAAGGTTGTTACACAAGGATGTAGGAGTAAAGATGGAGCACGTGCAGCCAGGAGAATGTTGTCTAGCACGTGGTGAAATGCACAGCTCCCCACAGTGAGGGCAGGTAAAGTGGTATCTTTAGAGGAAGGCAGCCCTCAACAAAGAGCAGAAAAGCAGAGAGAGTAGTCAGGGAAGCAGGATGTGCTTCTGGTGTAACAGTCAGTACAGGACAGTCACAAGTTATATTTGTGAGCACATAAGCTCACTTCAGTTTCATACTGCCTATAATTTATTTTAACAAGCCTCTATTCCCAGCTGACAGTAAGAAAATTATATTTAGCCCAATGCAGTTCACACAGTCCTGTCTAGTAATTTCTCCAGTCACTTCTGTTTTAAGACTTAGTCATATCTCAGATAAGCATTCAATCTAATGCAAGTATTATTATTATTATTATTATTATTATTATTATCGGTTATTAGAAAATAAGGTGCAAGAGGGCAAGGATAAACTGATTTGATTTACCACTGTATTCACAGCACCTAGAAGGGTTCCTGGCTCATAGTAGGTGCTCAATAAATATTTTTTAAATGGATGACTGTCTGGTTCAAAGCCCGTCGTTGGATACACACTCTGTTCTCAAGCAATAGGGGCCTTCATGCTGCCCACTGCACCACAGCAAGGAGTGTATGACTTGATCTGGGCACATCAGCTGCTGCATCTGTGGCGGCATATTCCATGGCCTCTGGGCCCTCAGGAGGGACTTCCATGCAGCTTGCTGGCCTGGGTAATCAAACCACGGGAATGCCCTTCCTTTCCTGGAGATGCTAGTCTTGACTCCACCAGGAAGTATGGTGGGATGGTGAGCCAGCCCTGTCCCTACTAAATTCTATGGCTCATCCAGGCCCTTACAGATTACCGTATCAGTTATCTCTTGCCACAACAGTGTTGCATAACAAACTACCCCCAAACTCGGTGGCTTACAATAACAAGCATTTACTATTCAATTCTGCAGGCCAACTAGGTGGTCTTGCCTCAGGTTGCAGGTCTGCTGGGTGGCTGGTGTGGTTGTGGCTCATGTGTCTTTCACTTTCCTGGAAAGGCAGGCTCTCCAGCCAACTCAGCCCTTCTCTAGGCAAAGGCAGAAGGAGTGAGTGAAAACGCACACGTGCACACGCACATGTGCACACGGACACCTGCACGCACACGACGTTTCTCCAGGCTCAGGACTCAGCCCGTTACTCTCACCCACATCCCATTGGCTAAAGCAAATCACATGGCCTTGCCCACATCAATGGGATATGGGAAGAGACCCCACCTCTAGCAGGAATAACCCCAAAGTCCCCCGGCAAAGGGCATGGATATAGAAGAGATGAAATATTGGACACAATTGTGCAGCCGACTGCAGCAACCCTGCCAGTCCAGCTGGTGGGAACTCAGGTGTCCCTGGGCACTGACCTCTCTCCCCACCACCCTCTCCACGGCTGTTGCATCCCACTCCTTTAGGATGTCTGTGTGAGCCACCAGCTTGCATTTAGGATCCTGGCAGGAAGCAGACACTCCGGCCAGCTTTGGAATGTCCACTCTTCATGGGAAAGCACAAGACCCCCAACCCCTTTCCTGTCAAAGCAGGAGGGGGTAGCATGGCCTCCCTCAAACAGCATCCCCTCTCTGCCTGCAAGATTGCTTCACTTGTGCTCTGAGGAAATGAGACAGCACCTGCCATGCTGGGTTTCCTGGTGACTTTTATCTGACGCTCCACAGGGTCTCCCTTGAGGTTTGTCTCGGGGAAACCGGCATCTTCATTGTCGGTGACCTGGGTAAAAATGCAGAAAAAAATACAACGCATAGTTCAAATGATTGTCACACTTCTTTACCCTAGGAACCTGGGTTTCAGAGAAGAAAGAGAAAGGATTGAGGATGGCAAAGAAAGCACAGAGATGAAAACCCGGGAGGGAAAGTAATACTCTCTGACAGCGTTTAAAGGGGAGTTAAATAAGAAAATGTGGGTGTTCAGTAAATATTTGTTTGATACTCTTAAACGTTTAATTTGTTCTCCCTCCACTAAAAAGAGCTCTGGCCAAAAACACCACTGGGCAACTTCAGAGAAAAATAGCAGCAGCAGTGAGTGTGGTCTAAGAATGATAACTTGCCAGTAGATAGGGGGAATTTAGCCAAAGGAAAAAAATAGTGTTATTTATCTTAGACTTCTATAAGCACCAAGCTGGCCCAGGCACAATTTTTCAAATGACATACACACACACACACACACACACACACACGCACACCCCACATAAACAAACCCTATTACTATCCAAAGCAAATAAATGTACTAAGCAGATTTCTCACTGAAAGGAAATGGCATGAAATGAAGAAAAAGCAATAATTCCTAGAAATTTTGGTTAATAAAAGCACAAAGCTGGCTAACTTTTGGTCTTTAATGTCTATATCAAAATTATGATAAATTGTACCCATTAGGTGGGCTGTAGGCATAAACAGTGCTTTATCTACCATATAAAAAGATAAAATCCTAACCCACAAGCAGCATTTCCTACTACTAGAACCCAAGCCCACTCCATCAGTCACAGAGTCCTGGGAAGAGAATATCTGAAGAAACTGGAATGTCACGTGCCTCATGCTCAAGGTGAGTGTAAGCATTGGGATGTCTAGAGCATTTCAGGAAATGGAAACAGCTATGCAAAGGCTGAGGTTTGGGTGACACAGAGCAGTCAGGAAACCAAAAGGCCAGTATGCCTGGAATACTGACAATGAGATGGTTAGTGCCAGGAGGTGCAACTGGGGAAACATCAATGGCTGGACCACACCATGCCTTAGAGGACATATCACTTACTACTTGATTGATGCCACCATCTTTCAGCTCATTTTGGCTCATCTGCAAAGCAGATGTGATTGGCATACACAGAGCCCAATAAAAAATGAGATCTTTCCCAATTCATGTTGCTAGACTCCTCTCCTTTTGCTTTCTTTACTTACATCCTAAGCATTCTCTAAAGCAATGCTCTGAAAAAAATATTTACCACAATCAGTTGGCCATGAAATAGATTCTTAACAAAAGCACAGATCTCTTCTCTCAATCCTGTTGGACAGCTGAGGGATTAAGGTCTATCTCAAAGACTAGCTTTTCACCAAATTTGTTTTCCTTATATCCTAGGACAACAGCTAGACTATACTTCTCAGCCTCCTATAGAGTTAGTTGGAGCGATGTGACTGAATACTGCCAACGGAATGCAGGTAGAGGCGATGTATGTCCCATCCAGGCCTAGCCCATAAAAACTTCTCTCCATCCCCCTGACTGCTGGGTGGATATCAGTATCTGGAGACACCTTGGAAGCCAGCTACTGAACATGAAAAAACCACCATCAGCCTGGGTCCCTGAATGACTGAGTGGAGCAGGTCTCATTCCTATCCATGCCCTACCTTTGATTAGATTTCATATGAGGATGAAATAAACTTCTATTGCATAAATCATTGAGCTTTTGGAGTATACATATTACACCAACTAATGGTACCTTAACTATATCTGGAATTTGACCTATTTCCTCAAGAACAATTTGGGTTAACTTTTGCCCATTTGGAATTACAGAAAGCAAGACTCATGGTCTTCAAAATCCTCTCTTGAAGACAATGTAATGCACTATGTTTGTTGGAACAGCAGAAGCATAGTCATGCAAGCTGGAATCATGGCAATCTTGCTGTCCATTCTGGAATCTGCAGTTAAAGCATACCTTGGAGATACTGCAGATACAGCTCCAGGCCACTGCAAAAAGGCAAATATAATAAAGTGAGTTACACATTTTTTTTTGTTTCCCAGTGCATATAAATTTATGTTTACACTATACTGTAGTCTATTAGGTGTGCAATAGCATCTGAAAAAATAACATACATACCTTAATTTAAAAATACTTTATTGCATGACAAAGATCTAATATCCAGAATCAGAAA